GCCATGGTCCTTCCCGGGGCTCCAGGGTCGCTGCAGCCCTTGTTGTGCCTCTGCTTGGTCTCAAACCCACAGCCCCGTGTGTCCTGACCATCCCCTCTGGCCGGTTCCCCGTGCCGCCCTCTCCGGCCCTTAAGGACCCGGATGATTATGCTGGCCTGGGCGTTCTCCATCTTCTCTGTCTGCTAGGCCCAGGATCTTACATGTGCTGGGCATCGGGTTTTTTTTAGTTCATTGATTCTATTCAAGAGGAAAAATGAGGGGAGGGAGGCAGCCTTGACAGTTCTCCTCAGGCGTGACTCCCTCCCCCAGCCTCCTAGCTCACCAGGGTCTGGGCGTGTGCTCTCCAGGCGCGTTCTCGGGCAGACTCAGGATGGTCCCATGGTGGGCAGGGGCGCGTCCACACTGCAGTTTGGCGTATTTCCGCTGCCCCACCGTGGTGGGCCCGCACAGCTTCCTGTCGTGTAAGCACATGCTCCGACGTCCTGGGCACGGGTGGGTGTCCTCCGCTGTCTCCGTCCGCTTGGTCCCCCGGGTTCATGGCTCCCACCACACGGTAGCACTTTGCTGCCTCTGCCTCAGCCGTCCAGGGCAGGGAGCCCGTCCTTCCCTGTATCCTCACCTCGTAGCCTCGTTAGCGAAGATGGTACCACAGCCGCCTTGGGAGAATGTGGCAGAGATCAATGTGTGTGCACAGTGACGTAGTGGGGACCTGACGGTCTGGAGGTGCCCCTGCAGCTGCGCAGAGACCATGGCACAGACCATGCATGTGCACAGTGACGTAGCAGGCACCTGACGGCCCGGAGGTGCCCCTGCAGCTGCGCGGAGAACATGGAGTGCCCAGCCCGGCAGTGTCTGGGCCATGCCAAGCTCTCCTACCTGGGACTAGGGGTCGTAAATGGCGTGCATATCTGGGCTTTCTAAGAACAAGCAGTGCTGTGAGCTGCAGGGAGAATGCAGCAGGAAAGGCAGGTGCCGTCCTGCCGCAGGCCCGTTAGCTGGTGCCCGTGGTGGGGTTGGGCTGGAGTCTACACTGCCTTTCAGGTCTCGTCCGGCAGATACCACTGATTTTGAGTAGAGGATGCTTCAAAAGATCCTGCTCTTTATTTTTAATTTAAAATTCATGCTAGAGCAGGGCCAGCAGGTAGCATGGTGGGTCAGGCGCGGGACTCCTACATGGCCGACCATGGTTTGAGTTCCAGACCCTACGGCTTGAAAATCACACTGGGCGCAAAATCTCAAGAGGAGAGTGGAGAAGGGATTGTGGCGTGGCCATCCTCCCTGGGGCGAGTCCTCACTCTCTCTCTGTCTCTCTGGTGAGTGTGCTTACCCTATGGCAAAAACCTTCATGGGAGAATTCACTATGTAAGCTTTAATGGTTTAGAGTGACTAAATGTAAATAAAATAATAATAACGAAATAGACTTCAGGTGGTGCAGGGGCTGCTGTGTGACATGGAGCCTCCTGGGAGGCCTGGACGCATCACCCATGCCTGTCTCTACCTGGGACCCCAGGGGCTGAGAGCGTGGGGGATGGTCTCAGCATGGCGACACCCTGCCAAGGGCACCTCTCTCTCTGCCTCTCTTATGAAAAAAAAGAAAGAAACATTTAAAAAATATTTTTTGGAGCAGTTTTTGGCTCATAGTAAAACTGAGCAGAAAGTACAGAGTTCCATTTCCTCCTGCCCCTCACAGGCACGGTCCCTCCCACTACTGCCTCCTCCACCAGGGTCGCTTTGCTACAGCTGAGGACCCCGCACGGACATGTCTCCCAACCCGGGGCGCAGCTCCCCCTGGGGACCCCACACGGACACGTCTCCCGACCCGGGGCGCAGCTCCCCCTGGAGACCCCACACGGACAGGTCTCCCGACCCGGGGCGCAGCTCCCCCTGGGGACCCCACACGGACACGTCTCCCGACCCGGGGCACAGCTCACCCTGGGGACCCCGCATGGACACGTCTCCTGGTCTGGGGCGCAGCTCCCCCTGGGGACCCTCTCGGGCAGCTCCTTGTGATCTTGAGCAAGTACGTGACGGCAGGTGTCTACTCCGATGGTGGCACACAGCGCGGGCTCACTGCCCTCAAGTCCTCTGTGCCGTGCCTGCGAGCCCTGTCCCGGGAGCCCTGGCCATCGCAGATCTTCCTAGTGTCGCCTTCGATTTTCCCATCCCAGAATGCTGCAGAGTTGGGCCCATCAATGGAAGGTGTGAGAGTGGAGAGGTCTCTGGTCCAGGCTGTGCTCTGTGGGAGTCTGGCTGCAGAAGCAGCAGGAGTTGGAACAGTGGCTTCAGACGGCCGAGTGGTTAAGGGTGGGTTTGATTTTGAAAAGAGAATAGAATCATGGGTGGGACTAGCAGATGGTATAATGGTTATGTTGTTGGACTCCCACATGGCTGACCAGGGTTTGAGTCCCGGACCCGGCAGCTTGAAACTCACGCCTGGTGCACGTGCACACCAAGGTCAACGGGAGCAGGGGTGTGATCTGTAGGGAACTACTCCAACCAGGGGACGTAGGTGGCAGAGCCCGACGCCGGGAACTGCAGAGAGGCTGAGGACTTCAGGGAGGAGGAAGCGATACAGGTCTGGAAAAGGAAGCGGGCAAGGAGGGCCGCTGGCCACTTGCATACCCGGTAGCCATCACATGCCAGGGTCACTGGGAGGGTGTGACCGGCTCGCGCTGTGTGAGGCTCTCTGAGCGTAGTGCATGTCTGCAGGCCACGTGCACCCGCGAGCCGGCACTGTGCACCCAGAGGTCCTCTGCAGCCGATCGTG